AATATAATAATAATAATAATAATAATAATAATAATAATAAATATATAATTATTAATACATATATATTATATTAATTATATTAATATATAATAATAATTATTATTGAACTAATAGCAATTCAATCTAAAAAATGTCTCATATATAGCCTTCTAGCCATTGTGAATCGCATTGTTGGAGAAAGATGGGATACAAATCTTTGAAATAAATAAATAAATATAGCCATTAAGAAACGCAGATTCCACTTATCTTTCATCACAAACACAGCAAAATAAATGTATAATAACACACTTAGGCTTGTTTGTGACTGCAGTGACGGGGAACTTGGCTTCCCAACCAATGCCTTAGAAACGGGTTCCACTTTTTAATGAACGAATTAAAGGCGTTTCCATAATCCCTAGAAAGAAGCAATCGTATCTGAATGTGTGTTCATTATTGCAACAAACTGAAGTGCTGCATTACTACTCTTCCTCTATCAAAAGAGTGTTTGTGCGCCTTCTTGGTTCTAGCTATGCTTGCACTCCGGTTCATGCACAATTTTAACATTTTTGTGTGTCTTTTAATACACCATGTAATAGGGGCATGCTAAGTGTCAGAAGAATTGCTTTCTTAAAATTGAAAACATCGCACACTATTTTGTTATTCTTATGGCCGGCATGCATCTGGCGAGTAAACTGCACATTATGTTTAGGTCATCTCTGAAAAAGTTACTTTTTTGGGAGTCAGATCCTAGAATCTCCCAAACAGATTCTGGGGGCTGACACGTAAAAATGTAATATTCCAGATTCGTACTTAAATAAAATATAAACCCTGTGGTAAAGATTCATAGAATCGTAGAGTTGGAAGAGACCCCCAAGGGCCATCCAGTCCAACCCCCTGCCATGCAGGAACTCAAAATCAAAGCATCCCCAAAAGATGGCCATCCAGCCTTTGTTTAAGGAAAGCCTTACCATCTGAAATCTGTTAGACTTTATTGCTACAACAATAAAGGCCCATTTGTTCTCGTTGGCTTTGTGTTTTATTGGACTGATGATGGCTTTCCTGCAGCTGTTTATTGGAATTTAGCATTGCTTGGATGGAATTTATTATTATTATTATTATTATTATTATTATTATTATTATTATTATTATTATTGGCTTTTATTCATTATTCTGTGCTTTTCTGGTATGCTGAATTCTGTCGAAGATGTCCTGAAAAGGATCTTACTCCCAAAAGAAGTCTAAAAATATTTTATTAATTAAAAAAAAATCTCAAACCAAAGAGAAAGAGATTTTACCAGAGTGTGATTCTATGGATGTTCAGGGGATTTATTGCTTATAAACAAGCATGAAGCTCAAATCAGCATTAAATGTCATTTAGTATTGTCTCCTGTGACTTCCCCCCCCATTACATCTTAAAAATAATTATATTTAATTTTTATTATAAAAACAATAAAATGATTGTGTGCGTTTTTAATTCCTTGGACCATGCCAAAATTCTTGAATATGGCTATGTAGGCCTGGATGTTGACCTTAGTAGGAATCCCTGGATAAATATCATCCAGAGTTGTGTATGTTTTATGTTCCTAAAAACTGGATCCTGCGTCAAAGTAACCCAAGTATTGCACTGACAAACTTAATCCAGAATGCTGCAACGGATACATCGGTAAATATTTTCTTGTTGCCCTATTTAAAATCCTGCTGCTGCTAGGGACAGGGGAGAACAGTAAAGCCATGGCCAAGATCAAGTGGTATATTTCGGCATCTCGCAATAAAGAATTATGACTTTATTCTCTTTCCTCTCCAAGTCCAAGAAGGTTTCACCCCCAGAGTATGTTTTTAGGTTGTAGGAGGGAAGGAGGATCAGAGATTCCTGTAGCAGGTATTAGGGTTGCTCCTTACTTGGTGTTTTGCACTTGAGTGGCATAGTATGTACAACTGTGATCGATGCTTATGATGTTCTTGATGACATTACTAGTGACTCTGGTAACATTGCCAGGAACTGTGCTCACGAGGTCAGAAATTTTCAGGTTTTAGTCCTGAAATCTCAGGGTCTGGGATGGCCCTAATGTGTGTCAACCCTAGCAGAGATCCAGCAGAAATCCAACATTGAATCCTAGGACGTTATCACACGTGGGCCAGAAAGCGAAAATAAAG